GCAGGGAGTCTGCTTCTCCCTCTGACCCTCCTCCCTCTCATGCTCTCTGTCTCTCATTGTGTCTCTCGCAAATAAATAAAGTCTTAAAAAAAAAAAAAATTAAAAAAAAAAAGTTCTAACTTAAGACCTTGAAAGTAGTCATATGTTCTATGCAGCTTTTAAAAAATTATCTTTCAAAATCCTGGTGAAATTAAATAGAAGGTCACTAAGATCTCAGTAAACTTTTTGATTAAAAACCCTCTAGAAATGTCTTACTGGCCCTACTATAGTTTAGTGAGTAGCTTCTTTTATATAATAAATCTCATGAAAGTGTAGAGTATAAAGATGAATTAACTTCCATGAGTGTTTTATAATAAGGCTGTTACTCTGAAAAAATACAAAGCACATTCCTACACTAAAAATACTTATGTTATTTATGTAAATGGAAACTTTCCATAAGTCATTTTTTTGTTACTTAAAAAGTTTAGATAGATCTTGTTAAAGGAAATACCTGGATCAATTAAACATATTTCATCTACCCTTTTCCCAGGCTGCTGAATACAACCCTTAAGACTGTCTTCCAGAAAGATGTCAACAAAGCAAGAACTCCTTAACTTGCTGCTCCCCACCCCCAAAGAACATATATTGCACACATAATATCTTATTTTTATGTTTTCAGCCCTTTTTTTCTTACTTAACTCCCCTCCTATCTGAGGAAATGATCATTTTCTTCCTATCCAGGGATTTGGTCTCTACTCCTACCTCCTAACTACTTAACAGACTATTTACTGAAGGCCTGTTGTGTGTAATTTAGCATGCTAGGGCCTGGAAATAGAAAGACCAATTATGACTTGGTGACTAGTCTGGAGTTGAGTTGAGTCAGATTCAGATAATGCCAACAATTAACATATTGTGGTAATTGCTGCAGAACATTCAGTGCACAGCACACAGGAAAGGCTGCTATCACTTCTCACCTTCTCCTCATGGATCTTCAATCTCCATTTGTCTGACTGACTCTCTTCAGCACACAATCACCCTACACTACTACCCTCTCTCAGTCTAGGCACAGTACTGTCTTCCTCATTCATTTGTATACTCCCTCCCGCTCACACCTCCTTTTCAAAGACAAGCAGTCAGAAGAAGCCTACCCTTTTATCTCTCCTTCATCTACTATATTTATGTTGTTTCAGGTCACTGTGCCTTGGCATGGAATGTCTTCTACTCCTTCACCTTTCCGACTTGAACTTAACTCAGGTGCTACCTAGTCCAGGAAGCCATTTGACTCTGTGATAGGGTTTGGTGCTTTGCCTCTTTGTTCTCATAGAACCCTGTGCTGAGCTTCATCAGCAAATTGGTAAAGCTGCATGATCACTATTCATTGCCTGTCTTTCCTGTATTAGACTGTGAGAACCTAAACATCTTTTTTCTATTCCTAGCACCCAGCACAGTTCCTGACATGTAGTAGATGTTCAACAAATACTGAATTAATGCACTGTAGGTTTGAGATAATTATTTCTATTACTACTTAACAATGCAATTGATTTTATTATTTAGCAGCATCTACTAACATATTACTTATATTAATATTTTATACCAACATCTCAAGAGATGCATAAAACACAATTTTATTTGTGAATTTTATTACTAAGTGAATAATTATGTATTTCCTGGCCCAAACAACTTCTCTTTAGGCTAGAAAGCCAATGCAAAATAAAGACTATCAATTCAAATAAAAAATGAAATATTGCTAATGCTATAAATACCTCTGGATATTCTGTGTAGTTGTCAAAATTAAAACATAATAGCAAGAAATATTTAACCTAGTAAGATTGAGGACAACAAATATTACAGAAATACATTTTCAGGTGAATATTATAAATTGTATTAAACTGCACTGATCAACTACTTGTTTTTCTGCATACCAAATCTTTCAATTCTTTTTTTTTTTTTTAAAGATTTTATTTATTTATTTGACAGAGAGAGACACAGCGAGAGAGGGAACACAAGCAGGGGGAGTGGCAGAGGGAGAAGCAGGCTTCCCGCCGAGCAGGGAGCCCCATGCGGGGCTCGATCCCAGGACTCTGGGATGGAGCCCCATGCGGGGCTCGATCCCAGGACTCTGGGATCGTGACCTGAGCCGAAGGCAGACGCTTAACGACTGAGCCACCCAGGCGCCCCCAAATCTTTCAATTCTTATACACGCTACCTTCATTTCAAAAAATTCACTATTAATAGTAAGTTCTAGTACTTAGTAAGAGTAGGCCTACACAAATTACTTATTGATATTAATTCTTAAATGGCTATATTTAATGGGTTTCTTTTGAAGATTTATCTTACTTTTTTGCACTAAACTGTGAAGGAACCTACATCAAATCCAAAGAATATACACTAAAAAGATATAGATTATACTAAGGAGAAAAAAAAATCATAAAAAAGTATTTTCTTTGTCCTGAAAATTAACATTCTCCTAAAAAGTGAAAACTTAGTGAATGAAGAATGAAATGACCCCAACAACTAATGCCTGGCAACTTCCAAGTATTGCTTGAATGTGAATTTATAAGACTAAGAGGCATAAGAGAATCTATGGAAAGCCACTAATTAACATGTATTAACCATATGTTTTGTAGGTAACACTATACTGGTTTTTCAAATATTAATTAAATATATTATATTTCCTTGATTCTGAGATGCCATTGATTAAATAACAAATATCATGGTAAATGTACATATAAAATGTAAGATATATCCCAATGGCAAAAACAATTAAAATGGGAAATATGGGTCTAGAATTAAGGAAATACTGTATTATCTCTTTTAAGAGCTTTATTGAGATATAATTTACATGCCATAAAATTCACACATTTAAAGTGTATAATTCAATGGTTTTTAGTAAATTCACAGAGTTGCACAACCATCACCACAATTAATTTTAGAACATTTTTATTGGCTCTGAAAGAAGCTCTATACTAATTAGCAGTCCCTTCCTCCCCATACCACATACACACAAGCTGTCATCTCCTACAACCCCTCAGCTCTAGGCAATCACTAGTTTGATTTTCTCTCTCTAGATTTGCTTATTCTGGACATTTCATACAGATGGAATCGTATAATATGTGGTCTTTTGTGATTAGTTTCTTTCACTTAACATGTTTTTGAGGCTCATACATGTTGCAGTAGATATCAATACTTCATTCCTTTGCATTCCATTGTGTGGATATACCACATTTTGTTTATTCACTCATCAGCTTAGGGACATTTGGGCTTTTTTCACTTTTTAGCTATTATGAATAAGGCTGCTGTGAACATTTGTGTACAAATTTTTGTGCGGGCATAGGTTTTCAATTCCCTTGGGTAGATACCTAGGAATGAAACTAGGGTCATGGTAACTCTATGTTTAACCTTTTGAGGAACTGCCAGATATATTTTTCAAAGCAGTCACACCATTTTATATTCCCACCAGCAACATATGAGATTTCCATTTTCACCAACACATGTTATTGTCTGTCTTTTTTATTCTATGACTTATAGCTTAGAGTATAATATTTCATATAATACTACAGAAAGATGAATTAACCCTTGAGCAGCTAGATTTTTACACTGGAATATTTCTCCAGTACCAATGAGAGCTTTCCACTGCGCTTCCAGTGTACATGGTCTCCCTTCTGATGAGCAATAAAACTTTAAAAATGCCTGGGATGGGTTTGGTGGTGTAATCTGGAAATATCACAATTTATCTTCTAAGTAAAGCTCATGTGACAAAAGAGCCAGGATACCCATGTCATTAGCACAACCCAAGGGTCCAACATTTATTCCTTTTCTTTATAGCCCAGGCTTGATAACAATTATTCACATCTTCTCCACCTATCTTTTTCGTAACTTCCATCCTAAGTATTTTATATGCTCATACACCAGAGATCCTCCCTCCACGGTGGTTTTCACTCCCTGCACTCTCTGACCAAACAGTGAATGGGAATTATAAAACCCCAGGTAAAAACTCAAGGATGTCTTTAACAGGGCTCTCATCCATTAACTAGGAAATGACACTTTAAAATGCTTAGCTATCACTAGATGATAATTAATTCCCATGAGTTGATTGCTTTTACTAATATTCTCTGATCATCTGTATCATACAATAGTTTCCACTTACTTTCAGGCTTTGCATCTGCTGCTGCATGGCGCATACTTTTCAGCTGATTTTGTACTCTTTGCAGTCTCTGCACTGCATGAAATAGCTTTAAAATACAAATAGATCCATTATTTGCTTAGTCTATTGAAACCTACCACTCACATAGACAAGCAAAGAAAAATACAAGTTCCACATAATTCTTGCGATATAAAAAGAACAAATAATAAGAACTAAGAAAATTACTGTTGGGCCCAAAATGTAACTGGTTTTCTCAATACCTTTTCATGTAAAGCCTTTTTAAAAAAAGCTTTCAGAAAGTTTATTTTTAGTTATTGGTTGTACTTAGTAATCAAGGAAAAATACTTGGTAAAGAAATATACACACCAGGCTTTTCTTGTTATAACATGGTTTTCTTTTTTTTTTCCTTTTTTTATTTTTAAGTAATCTCTATACTCAATGTGCAGCTTGAACCCACCACCCCAAGATCAAAAGCTGCATGCTCCACCAACTGAGCCAGCCAGGTGCCCCTAATATGGTTTTCTTAATTCTAAGAAATATTAGCATTCTCACAAATGATGTCTTAGAATCAGACACTGATGCTAAGTAACCACTCAGGGCCCAAGCAATGCAGCTTACTGGTTCAGGGGAACTACCATGATGCCAAATCAAGTTCCAAAAGAGTCAAACATCTCATTGAGTAGGAAATGGAGCTGATTTGAAGTATATTTTTAATGTATAAGTCTCCTTAGTTTTAAGACAGATTTTTAATAAAAGTAATCCTTTTGAGCCAAATTGTTTTTTCTTTAAGGCAAAGTCTAAAAATGTGGAGTATGGGTGATTTTGAGCCTTTTCATGATTTGCTTATTTGCCACGGTAATAAATTCTAGTGGATACCGTGATCAGTAGTATAAATGGATATTCTCATAGCACCAGAATCTCAGGACACCCTTTAGAGATTCTACCAGTTTTATCAGCAGTTAATCTTAATGCTTAACATTACAATGAATGCCCCAACTCATGTTGGGTCAACATGAGTTAAGCATAGGCCAAAAGGTAGTATATAGATACATACCGGGTACAGAACCCAAAAAGTAGTATTATTGCTATTGGTGCCACAAAATCCTCTTAAGAGTATTCCATCATGTTAACAAAAGGAAACATGAACTACAATTGTAGAATTCTTTTTTCTTTATATTTGAATGATCAAATTTACTATTTCTTTCATCATGAGAATATAAACTTTTATGAGGATACCTGATTCTTTTGTTCCTGCTTCTGTTGTGCAAGAAATTCTTCTCTCTCTTTTTCAACTCGAAGTTGCCTTGCTATTTTAAGCATCCGTTGATGATTCTGAACTGTCTCCACCTACAGTAAGGGAATTAAGTAGTACATGTTACTGTCAAGTTAAAAGAAATTAGCATGTCACGTGACTCAGACATCCACTTATTTCTTTTTGGCAAACAGTACTCCCTAGAGATGACAGTAAAGTTCCATACTCCAGGTCCTTAAAAGTTCTGGGCTACTGCCTAGGGAGATTCCCTTTCTGTCAATGTCATTTGAGTCCATCCTCAGATGTACACCAATGCCTTGTTTAATCCTTATTTCTATTCCTAAATCTTTGCAAGTCCTTCGGACTTGGGGCCAAAGTCTTACAGTGCCAATTCTTGCCTTACCCTTTTCTTCAAACGTTCAACTCTCTTAATGAGCTGATCCTTTTCTTCCTCCATTGCACTGATATCCTAAAAAGGAGTCACAGAGACATTATAAGAAAAAGCATTCTTTGTAGATTTCAAATAAAGTTTTCATATGATTGTGCATCGACCGTCTTCACTACTTTTTTTTTTTTTTTAAGATTTTATTTATTTATTTGACAGAGAGAGACACAGCGAGAGAGGGAACACAAGCAGGGGGAGTGGGAGAGGGAGA